CCTTGCTTGCTGGCCAACTTTCAAGAATGTCTTAGCCTACCTTTAATCAGCATAAAAATTTTAAGTCCTTAGTTCAGAATCTATCTGATTATAGTTAGAATCTCTCCATTTTGAAGATGTATTTATTTTTCACTTTTTATGTCTGTGTTTTGCTTGCATGTATTTATGTGTGCCGCATGCATGCCTGATGCCCATGGAGGCCAAAAGAAGCCATTTTGAGACATTTATGGACAATCTTTGTACCTCATAATTTAGTTTTCAGGTTTATATATTTCTTGTAGTGAAGGGATGTGAAGGCTATACATTTGTGTCAAAGGGCTTGTTGGGTTTTGTCCTATCTTGATAGTTTACACATAGTTTTGATGCAATAGTCCCTCTGCATAATTATTCAAAGCAATGTTTAGAGGGCCTGAAACAGAAAAGCTGCTTTCAAGAGCATCCATCACTGAGCAGAGTTGCTGATGCTTTCAGTACTGCTGAGCAGTCTCCGGTCAGTGTATCATTTTCCCATCTACAGCACAGTGTCTGAAATTCTTTCTTCATACAGGATTTTTTTTTCATCTAAAGACTTTGTGATCTTTAAATGTTTCCTGGAAGGGTATCATTGTCATCTCACACCTAAAGATGTGACTACTAAACGTCTTCACATTTCTTGCCAAGAAGGCCAAGATTGTCATCCTTGGGGACCTACCCATCCCCTTGGCTAGTCCCTGCTTTGAGCTGCTGGAATAAATGTTGACAACAGTCCCTGTACCCTTTCAGATGAATATTCTGCTATATGACTTTGAGTTGACTTATACCTCTGAGTATAGGCATGCATCCCTAACCACCCTTTCATTATAATAGGCTTTGAATTCAGGGCCTCTGACTGTGCTTTCTTCACCTTCTACTAAAGCCCTGGCCATTCCCTAAGGGCAGTGATGCCTTCACAGTTCCTGGACTGCTAGTTTTTGTCTCCTTCAACCCATAGACCTCTTTACTGTCATTTCTTCTTTCTTCTCCATCATAAACCAGTTCTGTTGAAATAGATGTCTCAAGACTGTTGTGTATTACTTAGGTGTGCTTTTGTCATTTTGATTTCTGCTATGTCCTGCATAGCTGGATAGTGGTGGACACAAAGAGGAAAGCAAGGTATCTAATAATAAAATATCACACACAATTTAATAGTTAAGAAAGCTGGGGACCAGGAAGCTCCCTGTTCCATAGTACAGAGAACACTGAGTCTCTAACTTCCAAGGTTTTATTTGCAGAGATGGGGTACTCTAAGCAGGTATTCAGGAACTAATGGTTTTCAGATCAAAGGAGATTTCTCTGCAGCTCAGGAAACAATTAGCAACAAAGTGTGGCCTGTTTGCAAGATACAGAGCAGATGTCCACACAATAGTGTAAATAAAGTATAGTTTTTTTTTGTTCTTTGTTTTTTGTCTAATCTAAACACAAACCTAAGGGACATTGCACTTAAGAGGCCTGTGTTGGTATACATGCCTATCTGGCTCTGCCATCATATACAATCTTGGCTACTGGCATCTTTGCACATGTAGTCAAGCATGCTTTCTACAGAGTTTAAACATGGCAGTCGTCTCCAACAGATTTTCTGTGTAGTCCAGTTTTTAGTCCCTGAGGACTATGAAGAGGCAATGTTTTGGGACATAAGCATTCTGGTTGTGTAGAATTACTGTGTGGAGTAAAAGTAGATCTCCTATTCCAAGTTGAGAAGAAAATGGGAGATAATATTGCCTATATATGGTCTTCATTAAAGGAAAATATGTGAGACAAGCCTGGATTGTGTTCTTCCTATGTTTAAGAATTTTTTTTTATAGATGGTGTGCACTGTAGGTCTTACTTGGAAGAAAATTAACACAAAAAAGCTGAGTAACTGTTGTTCTAAATCCTGCAGCACCAAGTTTCATTGCAGCTCTGTATCCTCAGGGGTAAACCTCCATTTTAAAACTTTTGCTCAGTGTAAATAAGTAATAATGCTCATATTGTTAGATATTTTTAGTTACAGATTACCTTTTGTTGTTTTTGAGACAGGGTCTCCCCGAGCCCCAGCTGACCTGGAATTCGCTATGTAGACCAGGCTGGCCTTGACTTATTTCACGGAGATCCTCCTGCCTCTGACTCTGGAGCGCTGAGATCAAAGACTTTTGCCATCATACCTGTCTAGTTACCAGGCTATCTTTAATTGCCTGTATTATAAAACTGTAGTCATAAATTTTTTTTTTTGCTTTCTTTATTCAGAATGTAAAGAAAACAGCTCATTCTGCCTTTAAATAGCTGGATGTTTATAGAATGAAAAAGTGATTCTGGCTTACTTCTACATGGAGTTAGCTTTCATATGTATATAAATTAGAGGTCTTAGAGCCATTAGAGCCATTAGATGATTAGGGCACTTTTAGCACTATACTATCCCCAAATCAGAAGTGGGCAGAGAAGACCAGAGTATAGGCCATAGGGTATCTTTATGTAAAAAGCACATTTCAAAATATACCCTTCACTTGTACCACCCACGAAATGATAAAAGCCTTATGGATTCTCAGTTAACAGTGTATTCATGCTGGATTGCATGCAAGTTGGCATGACTTTTCCAAGACCTCATCACAGATAAAACATTCAGAGTGTTGAAGATCCTGTCTATACTCACTGGCTTTGCCCCACTCCCCCACCCCCATTTCTCCCTACCTAAGTCTAACCTCAGAATCCTGAGTGATTTGCTTCAGTGAGGATAAAAGCTTATGTAAATGGAAGGATCTCTTGCCTTGGATTTCAAAACCTTGCTAGTTTACTAGGAAGGGAAATTTAGTAAAATAGTTAAGCTAACTTAGTTAACTAATCCTTAGTTTCATTATTATTATGACAGTATTACCTATCTCAAAGGATTCATGTAAGGAATAATGTTAGCCATGTGAAAGATTTGTTAACAACTTAAGTTTATTTTCTAGTTTTTCCTGGTATTCTAGATGTTCTGATTTGAAATTTAGCTTAAGTATTCTGCAGGTGCCAGTTACATGCAGGTGAAAGGTTTGTATGTAGATGCAGAAAGTGCAGCTGGGTAAGTTTTGATACTAGCAACGACGTCTTTCGAGGGCCAGTTATAATATTAAGCTGTTCCCAGGCTAGAAACAGCTCTGTCCTCCCAGAGACCAATTCTGACTTTCCTAGCACCCACCCAAGAGTCCTAGCAAAGACAACGAGCCATAGAGATGCAGCTTCCTAGAGAGTCGGGGCGGTGGGGGGGGGTGAGCAACCGGAAGTCAGTGTACCAGGGCTCGGCCATGGCCATGATTCCGAGGCCTCGGCTGCAACCGCATCCGTTTCCGGTGTCATCTCCCGGCAGCCAGGCGTGGAGGCTGCAGACCTGACATCGTGGGTGAGCCAGGTTGGGCGCGGGTGGGCGCGTAGGGACGGTGTTAGGAGTGGTCGCTGGAACTTCAGCTGGACTAGAAGCGGACCCAGGAGGGGACAGCACCTCCGAGGCTGTGTGACAGAAAATGTAGGGTTGCTGCCCTGAGAACAGTTGCCTTGTGAAGTGTGGTGGCGCTAGCCCGCCATCCCTGCGCTGGGTGTGCTGAGGCGGGAGGGTCATGAGTTCGAAACCAGTGAAAGGCCGCATAGAAGAACGCGACCTGGAGCGAGCTGCGTCTTGTGTTTCACTGTTGGAGTTAGATTCCTTGAATTCATAATTTGCTCCCATGCAGTAACCACCTGAATGCTCATGTGGGAATCACTTTGCTCGTGTACATTTAGCTTTCTACTTCATACTCCTTTTCTGAGAAGCAAGCAAAATTTATAATTTTTTTTTAATCTGCAAATTATGAAACTGAGTCCGGGAGGCAGTGGCAGTGAGATAGCTCAACTGTAAAAGCACCTCTTGCATAAGCCTGATGCCCTGATTTCGAATCCTGAAACCTACGTAAAGGTAGAAAGAACTGGCTCCACAAAATTGTCCTCTGATTTCCACATATGTGCAATGGCACGTGTGCACCCAAACTCTCAAACAGAGCCCTGCACACACACAATAACAAATCTTTGATGGTATGAAGCTAATCACTTGTAGAAATTTAGAAATTTAAATCATTTCTCAAAATTCCGTTCTGTCACCTCCAGATGGATTATCAAGATGCCAGGTGCTTGTTTTATTCATACTACTACTTTATTTAGAACATAATCATTCACTTACACTACTGGAAAAGCTGAGCTGATCCTCCTGATACCAGACCTTTCCACTCCATCATTCTCCCTTAATGTGCTTATCAACATTACACTTTCTTCATGTTCTGAGTGGGAAAGGTCTTTCTATTCAATGCCAAATCCCAGAAGTCATAAAAGAAAAGATTGACTAGATGGCACAAATCCTGATAACCACAAGTCACAGATAGATAACAAATGGGCTAGGCATGGTGGCACACCTTTAATCCCAGCTCTCTGGAGGCAGATGTAGGCAGATCATGGTGTGTTCAAAGACCAATTTGGTCTACACAGTGAGTTCCAGGCTGGCCAGGACCACACAGTAAGAACCGTTCTGAAAAACAACAAAACAGAAACTGGGAAAGATGTACAGCTCCCATTATCATCAAAAGATTGATTTTGCCTTTGATGCAAGGAGCATATACAAGTTAATAAGACCCAGCACTCCAACAGACATATGAATGATTTTATATGAATAGTTAACAGAATCACTTGTAATGTACCAATTCATTTATGATCCAAGTTAAAACTTAGATAGAGCCGGCTGTGGTGGTGCACGCCTTTAATCCCAGCAGAGGCAGAGGCAGGTGATCTCTGAGTTTGAGGCCAGCCTGGTCTCCATAGCGAATCCAGGCCAGCTGGGGAATACAGGGAGACCCTGTCTCAAAAAGACCGGGGGAAAAAAAAAACAAAAAACAAAAAAAACAACTTAAAGATCCAGGCTTTGACAACTGTATGAGTGAGAGAAAATAAGAACCCCACAGTTGTTGCTGATGGGGACGTACATAATATATTGGTATAATCATCTGTGTCTACCCTTTTGTTTGGAGGCCAGAGGTCAGCATCAGGAGTGCTCAGTTGCTTTCCTATTTTATGTCACAGTGTTCTCATTGGACCTGGAGTTTACTATTTTGGCTAGGCTGGCTGGCCAGCAAGCCCCAGGGATCTTATCTTCCTGTCTCTACCTCATGGTCACTGGAATTATACAGTGTGAGTCCCAGGGATCAAACAAATTTTCAGGCTTGGCAACAAGCGCCATCTCACTGGCCCTGCATGTGCCTTTTGAGACAGTAGTTCTGGTTCAACTGATTTTCCCTACGTTTGCCTCCACACATACCAGTTGGTACATGCCCATGGTTATTCATGGTAGTATTGTAGATAATTAGAGTGAAACCTGACTAAATGTCACATTAGTGCTGGAGTGCATACAGAATTATGGTGCATCCATAAAAACAGGGAAGGGCTGTAGAACATCCAATTGGGAAAGGAAGGCACAGTCCCTGGTGGTCTACCACACATGAAAAAAGGAAATAATATGTACACATTTGTATACACAGAAATATCTGGAAAAGGGGCTGGAGAAACGACTCAGTGGTTAAGAGCACTTGCTGCTCCGCCAGAGGACCTGAGTTTGCTTCTCAGCACCCATGTCAGGCAGCTCACAAGCACCTGTAACTCAAACTCTAGAGGATCCAACACTTTCTTCTGGCCTCCACAGGCACTCACACTCACACTTATGTGTCATACACAGAAAGACACACAAATATACACATAAATAAAAATCTTTAAAATGATCCTTATTGTTTAAAAAGCTGGAAAGGTACGTAGATGCTAACGGGGAAAGGGAAATTGTACAGTATGTGCTTTGCAATTTTAAATCTTAAACCAAGTGAATGTCTTACCTGTTTTTCAAAATAGCAGGCGGAGTACAATTGAAGGCTTTTTTTTTTTTTTTTTTTTTTTGTCTTTTTGAGACAGGGTCTCCTTGTAGCCCCAGCTGTCCTGGAATTCACTATGTAGACCAGGCTAGCCTCGAACTCACAAAGATCCACCTGCCTCTGCCTCCCAAATGCTGGGATTAAAGGCGTGCGCTACCACGCCCGGCATAATCAAAGGCTTTTTAGTGGTTGCTTATCACTCACAGGACATGACCCTTTCCATATTCTGCTTCATAAGAGCCTTTTGAATTCTGACTGGCTATATTCCTATGAGCTTGCCTCTAGAATTTACTTTTCTAGTTTGCAAAACTTACCCCTCCCCCTGCTTTTTGAGTAGTACTGGGCATTGAACCCAGGACCTCAGCCATACTAGGCAAGCACCACAAAGCCCATTTCTAACAGCAGTGTGTGCCATCACTCCCTTCCTTTGAAAATACAATTTCTTCCTGGAATGGCCTTCCTGACATTCTTTGAGCTTTGTATTTTTCTCTAAGCCTAGTACAAAGTTACCGTTCATGAATCCTGTCTGTGTATATATTCTCCTATTAGATGTATCCACAAATTATATTTGTCTTCTATTTAAATTTCTGCCTCCCCTGCTTGGTTATAAACAAGCTCTTTAAGAATCTATCTGTATAAAATTGATGATGATCTCGTATATCACTGATGTCACTGTTATACCTTCAAGGTTTTAAGATATTTGTACCCTTTGGCCCAGCAGTTTTTCTTCTAGAAATGTATCCTGGAGAAATAAGCAGAGATATAACCAAAAGTTTATCAACAAAGACAGTCATTGTGGCCTAATTTATAATAGAGAATTAGAAATAATATCTAGTAAACAGGGAACTATTTGAGTTTGACAAACTGGTGAATGAAAAAAAGACAGGGGTGGGGCACATAATCCAGAACAATAACAATGAGTACTTTCTGATTTGTGTGTGTTTACCAATTTCCTGTTTTGTTACTAAAAATTAAATGCTATTTCTAAAGATCAGGTGATTTCTGGAGAGCAAGAAGCCTAAATTCTTATAGTGAAACCTTATTCAAAGTTATCCAAATATTGTGATTAATAGAATTAATTTTCATAGAAAAGTAGAGCCAGCACATCAACACATTTTAATTCAGCTTTGAGTATTAGGGTTTTCCTGCCATGTGTTTCAGGATTAAGCTCTGCTGAATACAGGAAAGAGTACCAGTCACAGAAGGTTAGTAACATTTGAGTCCACATATCAGGCGCTGTTTAAAAATTTGAATGAGAGCTCGGGAGCATAGTTCAGTGGAAACACATATGCCAACATGCGTCGTAAGATCCTGGGTTTGATCTCAGCACCACAAAATAAAACCTTGAACTGTAGTTAGACATCAAATTCTCACATAAGGTGTGAACTGCTATAATATATTACAGGTTAAGAAACTATGCTTAAAGTGAGGTAACCTGTTCAGGCTACTGAAGTGTCCAGGAGATTTACTGTTAAAAGTGATGGGTACAGAGTTTATTATAACTAATTAGAAGAAATCTTGTGAATGAAGACCAAAGCCATTCCATGTGTTTGGTTTCAGACATATCTGTGAACTCAGGGCAAGAGACTTTTGTCAGAGGAAGTACTCTATGGAGCTAGAGCCTTGCATTCTGGAAGATTCTGTTTATTACTGGAGCTGACTAGGCTCTAGCAATCTTGGCTGTTGCTCTAGATTGACTTTAACAATGCTTTCTTGAGGTCTTACAGATGGTGTTCTTGATACCCTAAGTTCAAAGTAAGAGGCGTGGAAAGGAGCCTTTCTTAAAAGACAAAAATGACAAGAGAAAACTGGGCCCACAATGCTCTGAGACAAGAGGGCCTTGTGAAAGGAAAGGATGATATGTGGAAATGGGGAACCAGCTTCCAGGGGAGCAGCTCCTCTGTTTGGGAAACCTCCCACCTGCATTTTAGACAGTTACGTTACCATGAGACATCGGGACCCCACGAAGCTCTGAGCCGGCTCAGGGAACTCTGTAGACGATGGCTGAGGCCAGAAGCACGTACTAAGGCTCAGATCCTGGAGCTGCTGGTGCTGGAGCAGTTCCTAAGCATCCTGCCTGGTGAGCTCCGGACCTGGGTGCAGCTGCATCATCCTGGAAGTGGCGAGGAGGCTGTGGCCCTGGTAGAGGAGCTGCAGAAAGATCTCGATGGACCAACATCAAAAGTGAGTGAGGCTAGGGGTGGCAGTGGAGGGAAGGAGAGAATTGAAGTTGGGTTGGTCAGTGATCCTGTGATTTTCATCAGTAGTGGCACACTAGCAACTGAATAATTAAAGCAGGTTTTGTGAGCTATTCAGAACATAGAATGTATGTACAGAAAAATGGATTTATAGTTAAGGTCTTTGAGCCCAACTGAGAATCAGCACAGGAGCATTGATTCCACTCTGTCCTCAAGGATGAGACTTGCTAATGCTGAGATTGGTTCAATGCCTTGAAGAAGCGTTTATAAGTGTTCCTTTAAGCTGAAGCTTGTCTGTTGTTTGTATAAGTCTGACTGGAATAGTGATGTAATCCTAGGGTATGAAAGGGTTAGTGTGGAATAACAGGAGTGTTACTGTCAGGCCAAGTGTGGTGGCTCACACGTAGTATAATCCCAGCACCAGGATTCCAAAGCAGGAAGATCACCCACCATAAGTGTTAGGCAAGCCTGGAGGTACTTAGGGAGATCCTGTCTGAAAAAGGAAAAACAGAACAAAGATTTCCAGATCAACAAGACCTCCCCTGTGTAGTCTCACTTTGTAGGACAAGTGGTTTGGTTCAGATATGTGCTTCTGGTGAGACTATATCTTTGATGTTGCCTCCCATGTTTGTGAGATTTTTTTTTTTTAAAAAGATTATTTATGTGTGTGTGTGTCTTGTGTGAATGTATGTGCGTGCGCGCGTGTGTGTGTGTGTTTGTGTGTGTACACATGCCTGTGGAAGCCTGAGAGAGCATCAGATCCCCTTGAACTGGAGTTACAGGAGGTTGTGAGTCACTCAGTGTGGGTACTGGAAACAAACTTGGGTCCTCTGGAAGATTAGGAAGTGTTCTTAACTCCAGCCCTGTGAGATTTTTCTTTAAATCGGTGCATATTCATAATGCAGAATGTTTCATTATGACATTCTCCTGCATGTATATTATGTGTTTTGATCTAACATTTCTTTTCCCTGAATCTGTAGCCAACAAGAAATTCTCATGTGAAGAAGTGTCAACCATAACCAGATTTGGCAGTGGTATCAGACATCAAGGATGGGCTTGCTTATTTCATTCGTAAAGATACTGATTTTTTTTTTTTTTTTTTTTTTTTTTTTTTTTTTTTTTGTCTTTTTGAGACAAGGTCTCCCTGTAGCCGCAGCTGGCCCGGATTCACTAATGGAGACCAAGCTGGCCTTGAACTCACAGAGATCAGCCCGCCTCTGCCTCCCAAGTGCTGGGACTAAAGGCATGCGCCACCATGCCTGGCTAAAGATAAAGAATTTTAGAGCTATATATCTAATTATAAAAATTGTTAATCTGAGCTTTTGTTGTTGTTACTGTTTGAAACAGAGTCTCATGGTTAACCTTAGCTGGCCTGGAATTTGCTGTGCAGACTAGGCTGGCCTCAAACATAGAGATCTGCCTGCTTCTGCCTCTCAAGTACTGGGATTAAAGACCATTATATATTAAATAAATAGAAGAGATATAATTGAATCCATGTCTGATCTAAACCTTGGTCTGAAGCTAAGTCCATGTTCTTAGTTACTGCTTGCTACTTCCTTGCCCTCCTTAACCCACATGCAGGTCTGGTTTCTGTTGCCACCGCTCTGACAGTCTTCCTCTGGAGAAGTCACCATCTCCCTTATCAGTGCCATGCTTCTTTGCTGTTTCGAAGGTCCTTACTTGAGGAGGGTCTCTCCGATCTCACAGCCAGATGTGGGTAGAAAGAGGGACATAGTAGTTAGGAGAGGCCATTTTCCGAAAGTACAAGAACCAGCTTATTTTATTTTGCTTGGTCCCAGGTTCCAGTCCTTGTCCAAGACCCAGATGCTCTGCAGGATGGGGTGAGTGCTCAAGGAACAGGACTTCCTGGTCCACCTCCGAGCAGCCACTCATCAGCTCAAATTCACCGGAGTCCTCTTACTGATCTGGCATTCAGCCTCCAGGATCCTGCACAAGGTGCTTCTCCAGGACCTTTCCCCTGCTTCCAGGGAGTGGCTTCTGCCTAGACAGGAGTCCCTTGCAATGCCAGTCTCCTGCTCTTCCCTCTGTTGTCTGTCTTGTCTCTACCTGAATTCCTCTGACCCTACATATCCCTTTGTGTTGTTCCAGCTCTGCATAGAGACGTCACTCAGAAAAGGTCTGTGAGTCTTGTTATAGCCCTCATTGCCTGGGCCTGGAAGTTTTGGATAGTTCTGAGTTGCTAGTTTATAGCAGATGCTAGATTGGGCAGTAGGCAAGAGCAGCAGCAGTCTCACATGCAGCTTCTTCCTCAGATTCTCCTGTCCCTGAAGCTTCTGCCCTTTCCCAGGAGGAGAACCCAAGAAATCAGTTAATGGCTCTTATGCTCCTAACAGCCCAGCCCCAGGTGAGCTCTGCATCTTCTTCTCTTCCTGTTTGTCCTTCCTAACTGCTGCTGAAGTGCCCTCTCCTCCAGTGCTGGGGTTTCCTGTTAGCTCCCATGCTATACGAAGGTCCATGCTGTGAATTCAGCCTTCGCATGGGGTCTCCATTATGTCTCCCCAGTACCCATTGCCCATCCCATGGCCTCACATGAAATGAGAGGAAACTTTCTGCAGGGGAGCTCGTGGGCCTGGGTGATCTCATACGTGGCTGTTATTCCAGGAGTTGGTCATGTTTGAGGAGGTGTCTGTTTGCTTCACTTCAGAGGAATGGGCATGTCTGGGCCCAATCCAGAGGGCCTTGTACTGGGATGTGATGCTGGAGAATTACGGGAATGTCACCTCCTTAGGTAAGGACTCTTTCTCTCATAATTTTTTTGGGGGAAAGTCTTTTGAGACAGGATCTCCCTTTAGCTCCAGCTGGCTTGGAACTCACTATGTAGACCAGGCTGGCCTTGACTCAAAGAGCTCCACCTGCCTCTCTGCCTCCCAAGTGACTATAAAGGTGTGCACCAACATGCCCTACCTCTCCCATAATTCTTAGCTGTAGTTTATCAGCCTTCTCGATTTTTAAAATAAATTAAGAATTTTTTATTATTATAAAGGTAGTTTTCACTTACTTTGGAAAGCACAGAATGTTAGAAGGAAACCCACCTTAACTCTGCTACTCCACCACCTATGGATAACTACTGTCAACATTTTGATTTATTCTCTTCTTTTTTAAAATATATGTGGGATTTTTGTTGTTGCTGTTGTTCAAATATATGCCAGTGTATGAAGTTTACTCATGTTCTCCCCACTCGTGATACAAATATTTTGAAAGTGTTAACTGTATTGGCTCCTACTTTGTACAGCAAGTTAGTAATTTCCTTATTTTTTACGTTAATTAATTAATTAATTTATTTATTTATTTATTTTAGAGACCTCAAACTTGCTGTGTAGATGAGGCTGGCCTTGGAACTCCTCTTCCTCCAGTATCTGCCTCCCAAATGCTGGGATTATAGGCATGTGCCACCATGCCCATAGTAAAAAAAAAAAAATCTTTTTTTTTTTTTTTTTTTTTTTTTTTTTTGAGGCTGGGCCTGGAGAGATGGCTCAGTGGTTAAGAACATTGTTCTTGCAAAAGACCCGGTTCAAATCCCAGCACCCATCTAAATGCTGGGACTAAAGGTATGTGCCACCACTCCTGGCTCAGCAAAAAAATCTTTAAAAAAAAAATTACTGCGTTTGTTATTTATCGGGGCGGGAGGCACTTGTGTGCTTGTCGTGATGCACATGTGGAGATCGGACCTGGCAGCATAAATCTTTACTGCTGAGGCATCTCTTCAGCCCCCACTCCCCTTTAAATCTTTAAATTTAGTACTCTTATTTTCCTTATCATCTTTGTGGTATTTTTCCAAATAATGTAATTTTTTTCTATTTTTGTTGCTTCAGTTTGACATTAAAGCTTCAGTCCATGTTGATATTTATCAGTTTATCTTGGTACAGAGTAATTCAGGAATGTGTGCTTTACCCACATGGCTTTCAGGAGTTTCAGTGCTATCCTTTAACACTGAGCTCTTTTACTTACTGAGCTATCTTTTTTAAAAGACTTTCAAACTATACTTTATGCATCAGTTGTCTGATTTGATGAAAAACACCTACCATGAATCCTTCTCATGTGCTATGCACCAAAATAAATTTCAGATAAATCTTAAGAGTAAAATAAGGGGGCTGGAGAGATGGCTCAGTGGTTCAGAGCTCTGGATGCTGTTTGAGAGGATCTAGGTTCAGTTCCCAGCACCCACATGGGGGCTAAGAACTCTCTGTAGCTCCAGTTCCAGGTAATCCAATGCCTCCTTCTGGCCTCCACAGGTTTTGCACAACATAGGTACACTTACGTATATGTAGGCAAAACACTCATACACATAAAATAAAAATAAATAAATATAAATAAATAAAAGAGTAAGTAAAATAAGAATAAAATGGTTTGGGGAGGTATATCCTAGTGATCTAGTGTGTACCTAGCATGCATGAATCTTGTTCAGTCTCTTAAAATGGAAAAGTTGAAGAAGCAAGAAGGTAAAGTATCAAAGCATAGTCTAGGAGCTGGGCATGGTGGTACACGCCTTCAATCTCAGTACTTGGGGAGGCAGAGGCAGGCAGATCTTTGTGAGTTTGAGGCCAGCCTGGTCTACACACTGAGTTCCAGGCCAGCCAGGGCTATATTGTAAGCCCCTTTCTCAAAAAACAAACCAAACCAAATGAAACAAAAATAGTAATCTAGGGGATGGTGAGATGGTGCAGTGCTTAAGAGCACTGGCTGTTCCTGCAAAGGACCTGGGCTTGGTGCTCAGCACCCACATGGTGGTTAGCAACTGTGTAATGTGTGACTCCAGTTCCAATGCCCTCTTCTGGCCTTCATGGGTGTTGTGCACATGTGATACACCTACATACATGTAGGCAAAACATTCATACAGAGAGAATAAATAAATCTGTTAAAAAAAGTATAGTAGCTGACAGTTGGTCACAACTAGATTCCACAAGACAAAGTACTAAGCACTTAACACTTGGGCTAGATAGAAAATAGGACAATTTTGTGTATTTAATTTCTGGGCATTAATAAACTCATATAAAAGCAAACTTCCAGATAGCTTGCTCACACTGTTCTAATATGTATTACAATTGTACTTGTTTACTTAAGAGCTTGGACTTGAATTTGAAGGAAAATATTAAAGAGATGCATGTATCCCATATCAGCCTTAGCCTCTGCCTTATAATTCATCATGACCAGTGCTGTAGTAAAAGTGTGTACAAAGCGATATAGGAACTCTAGGAGCCTGGGTTGGTAGGCTGGAACAGTCAAAGCAGGTATATGGCATTTATAGCAGTATTAGGATATAATTCATGTACAATAAAATTCACCACTTCAAATGAATAGTGCAGAGGGCTTGGGAGGTGGCTCAGTGGTAAGAGAACACTGCTGAGCAAGCGTGAATACCTGCGTTCAAATTCTTATCAGCTATGGAAAAAGCATGTTCACGACTTTAATCCCATTTCTTTTAAGTGCACTTCTTATTTTTTGCATTATATTATTTAAGTTTTCTTAATTTATTTTTAGATTGTTCTGTGCCAGTGTAGTATATAAAAATAACACTGTTGTGAATTGAGCTTGTATCCTGCAACCTTGTTGAACTTAATTAGTTCTAATAGATTTTTAGTGGATTTTCTATATACAATACTTTGTTCTACAAATAGAAACATGTTTGCTGCATTCTTTCCTATCTAGATGCCTTTTATTTCTTCCCCTTGCTTAACTGCCAAGCAAGAGCTCACAGTGTATGTTGAATAGAACTAATGATATTAAGCAGTCTTTTCTTCTTTTTACCTTTTTTAAGATTTATTTTTATTTTATTTTTTATTTTTCAATTTATTTTATTATTTTATTTATGTGTGTGTGTATGCCAAATGTGGATGTCTGCAGAGTCCAGAAGAGAGGGTGTTCGATCCCTTGGAACTGGAGTTAAGAGGTGTGTGTGTGAGCTGCCTGATGTGATGTCTGGAAACTAAACTTGGGTTCTCTGGAAGGAACAATAAGTGCTCTTAACACTGAGCCATCTCTCCAGCTCCAAGCAGTGTTTTCTTCATCTTGCTCTTAGGAAGAATATACTAAGTCTTTCACCATATAATGTGGCACTAGTTTTAGGTTTTAAAAAGGATTTCCTTTTAGTTAGCATACAAAATAATGAGTATTATGGACATTTTCATACTTGTATGTCGTCATACATTGCCCTTCATTTCCCTCTCGTTCCCATTGCCTTATGATTCCTTCCTTTCCTCTCCATATAGAGACCCTCTTTGGGTTTGTTTTCCATGTCCTGTGTCAGGTTGAGGCGATTTCCTTCTATCCTTATGATTTATAAAAAATAAAAACAAAAAAACTGTTTTGGACGTCTGTTGAGATGGTCTATGTGGATCTCCCTCATTCTGTTGAAATGGTATCGTGCTTTAATTGATTTTCATGTGAAACCAACATTGTTTTCCTCTGATAAATCTCAGTTGATCCTGGTGTGATTCTTTTTATTTGCTGGATTCAGTTAGCTAGTATTTTACTGGGGAGTTGTACATCTGTATTCCTAATATATTTTCATTTGTATTCTTCCCCACCCCTTCTTTGTTTTTGTTTTGGAGCCAGGATTTCTTTAGCCTAGGCTTGGTATGTAGCAGAGGATAGCCTTGAACTCCTGATCCTCCTGCCTCTATCTCATAAGTACTAGGATTACAGGTATGTATCACCATACCTGGCTTTGTGATTTTCTTTTAATACTGTGGCTTTGGTGTTACAATCAGGGTGATACTGGCCTTGTAGACTGAGTTAGAAAATGTTTCCACTTCTTTTTGTTTCAAAAGTTTATTTTTTAAAATAATACTAATTCTTAACTGGTTTTGGTAGCATTTACCAGTGAAGCAATTTGGACCTGGGCTTTTCCTTGTGAATAATTCAAAATTTTAACCTGTTCCCTTTCCTTACTTCTAATGTCTCATAAGATTTTTCTATTTCTTCTTGAATCAGTTTAGTAGTTTGTGGCTTTCTAGGATTTTTCACATTTCATCTAAGTTGTCTAATTTGTTGCCACAAAATCTTTCTTAGTATTAGTATGCATGTGGAAGTTAGAGAACAACTTTCTGGACAGTCTATAGCTCAGACTATTATTTATTGGCTGTTTTACAGTATGCCCATTCTCATAAACTTAGGGAAATTTATAATGAAACAAAATAGCTACCCTTGTTATATTCAAAGAAGTTAATGTTGCTATCAAATCAAGTTTCCAAGGCATTTTCATAAAAAATTACTTCACATTTAAAACTGTTTAAGAATGTGGGTTGGGGAGATAACTCAGTCAGTAAAGTGCTTGCTATGTAAGTATAAGAACATGAGTTGGGATCCCTAGCTGTAAAAAGCTGGGCATGTTGGCATGTGCCTACAATTCTAGTGCTGGAAAAACAGAACTAGAAGGTTGTCTGGAGCTGGCTGACTAGCTAGCCTTGCCAAATTAGTAAACTCCAGGTCCAGTGAGAGATGCTCTCTCAGAAAATTAGGTGGAGAATGATTGCCGAAAACTCCAATGTAGACCTCTGGCCACCATACACACTCATACACAGGTGCTTAGAAATGTCTCAGAAAGTTGTGTATTGCCCATTTACAAGATCCTGTCAGTGTAGCATTCAGCTTTGTACCTCCTTTTCATAAAATTTTCTGTTTTTATGTGCATGTGAAAGTATATCCTTCTAGAAGTCAGAGATGTAGCCCATTGATAGAACACTTGCCTAGCATGTGAAAGGCCCTGGATTCTATCCCTAGCACTATAAAACTAAATGAGTACATACTACATGTGTCCTTGTAGCATGTTGTTTGTTTGTTTTGGTCTTTTGAAACAGGGTCTCCCTGTAGCCTTAGCCAGCCTGGAGCTCACTATGTAGACCAGGCTGGCTTCAATCTCACAGCAGTCTGCTTGCCTCTGCCTCCTATATGCCAGGATTAAACATGTGTACCGCCATGCCCAGCCCCTGTAGCATGTTTTAAAGCCATTTAAATGATCTTGTTCTCAAGCTAAGTGTTGTAGCACACACCTGTAACATTTGTACTTGAGAGACTAAAACAGAACTCTGAATTCAAGGCCATACTAGGCTACATAGCAAGGAGAGAGAGGGAAGAAGCATGGTGACGCTACTCCATAGTCCCAGTGCTCTGGAGGCAGACAGAGGAAGGGAAGTTGTGAGTTTGAGGCCAATCTGGGTTAGATAGTTCAGAGCTATCTGAGCTGCATAGTAAGTCCCTTTCTCAAAGGAAACATAGGCTGAGAATAAACCTCAGTGGTAGAATTCCTGTCTTGAATACTCAAGGCCCTGGGTTCCACCTCCAGTACCAGAAAAAACCAGCAACAAATCCTTTTCTCAAAAATATATCGCCGGGTGTGGTGGTGCACGCCTTTAATCCCAGTACTTGGGAGGCAGAGGCAGGTGGATCTCTGTGAGTTCAAGGCCAGCCTGGTCTACATAGTGAGTTCCAGGACAGCTGGGGCTACAGGGAAACCCTGTCTAAGTGACAGCATGATTTATCTACTGAGTTTTTAAAATATATATATAATGATGCTAGAGAGATGGCTAGTGGTTAAGAGTACTGACTGCTCTTGCAGAGGATCTGGGTTCAGTTCCCAGGATCCACCTGGCGGCAAAGAACCAAGCATAACTACAGTTCCAGGGGATCTGATACCCTTTTCTGGCCTCTACAGGGATTGCATGCACACGATGCACCTACATAATGCACAGGCAAAATACTCATTCATACACATAAAATATAAATAAATAAATAATAAATATAACAATGTGATAATATTTGTATCTAATTCCTTTTACCAGAATGGGAGACCATGACTGATTATGAGGAGGGGACATCCAATCTAAGTATTTCCCAAAGATCAGACTCTCAGAAAGGAACATCAAAAAGACTTCAAGGATGTGCTCCCCAGGTCCTTGATTTTGAGCAAGAGTATGAATGGCAAGTTTTGGCAAGTCAGTGGGAAAATGAAACAGGGGAAAGAGAACATATAGAGAAGAAAGATTCCCTTTGTGAACAAGAAAAGAAGAAAAGGACTCCATCAGAAAAACAAGACCAGAAATGGAGGGAATTTGAAGAAAATTTGATTTTAGGTTCAACTGTATCTGAAAGTTTAATAAGTACTAGAGGAAAGAAGTTTTATAAATGTGACATATGTTGTAAGCATTTAAATAAAATCTCCCATCTAATAAACCATCTAAGAATTCACACTGGTGAGAAACCTCATAAATGTAAGGAGTGTGGAAAAGGCTTTATTCAGCGTTCAAGCCTTCTAATGCACTTACGGAACCATTCTGGGGAGAAACCTTATAAATGCAATGAATGTGGGAAAGCATTCTCCCAAAGTGCTTACCTTCTAAACCATCAGAGAATCCACACTGGGGAGAAACCTTATAAATGTAAAGAGTGTGGAAAGGGCTTCTATAGGCACTCTGGCCTTATTATACATCTAAGACGCCATTCAGGGGAGAAACCATATAAATGTAATGAATGTGGAAAGGTTTTTTCCCAGAATGCCTACCTCATTGATCACCAGAGGCTCCACAAAGGGGAAGAACCTTATAAATGCAGCAAGTGTCAGAAAGCTTTCATTTTGAAGAAGAGCCTCATTTTGCACCAGAGAATCCACTCTGGGGAAAAACCCTATAAATGTGATGAATGTGGGAAGACCTTTGCTCAGACCACCTACCTTATTGATCATCAGCGACTTCACAGTGCAGAGAATCCTTACAAGTGCAAAGAATGTGGAAAAGTTTTCATTCGAAGTAAAAGCCTTCTATTACACCAGCGAGTCCATACTGAGAAGAAAACCTTTGCTTGTAAAAAGTGTGGGAAGGTTTTCAGTTCTAAGTCAAACCTCATAGATCATAAGAGGATGCACAGCAGAGAGAAACCTTACAAGTGCACCGAATGTGGGAAAGCTTTCACTCAGAGCGCTTACCTTTTTGACCATCAGAGACTTCACAATGGAGAAAAGCCCTATGAATGTAATGAATGTGGGAAAGTTTTTATTCTGAAGAAGAGCCTCATTTTACATCAAAGATTCCACACTGGAGAGAATCTCTATGAATGCAAAGACTGTGGTAAGGTCTTTGGATCCAACAGAAACCTTATTGACCACGAGAGACTTCACAATGGGGAGAAACCCTATGAATGTGGAGAGTGTGGGAAAACTTTTATTATGAGCAAAAGTTTCATGGTTCATCAGAAACTCCATACCCAAGAGAAAGCTTACAAGTGTGAGGATTGTGGGAAGGCTTTTAGTTATAATTCAAGTCTCCTTGTACATCGGAGAATACACACTGGAGAAAAGCCCTTTGAATGTAGTGAGTGTGGGAGAGCTTTCAGTTCAAACAGGAACCTCATTGAACATAAGAGAATCCACAGTGGTGAGAAACCTTATGAGTGTAATGAGTGTGGGAAGTGCTTCATTCTGAAGAAAAGCCTCATTGGACATCAGAGGATTCACACCAGGGAAAAATCTTATAAGTGCAATGACTGTGGGAAAATCTTCAGTTACCGCTCAAACCTGATAGCCCATCAGAGAATCCACACTGGTGAAAAGCCCTATGCATGTAATGAGTGTGGGAAAGGCTTTACCTACAACAGAAATCTTATAGAACATCAAAGAATTCACAGTGGGGAAAAAACTTATGAATGTCATATATGTAGAAAAGTCCTTACCTCTAGTAGAAATCTTATGGTACATCAAAGAATCCACACTGGAGAAAAACCTTATAAATGTGGTGAGTGTGGAAAAGACTTTAGTCAGAATAAAAACCTTGTTGTACATCAGAGAATGCACACTGGGGAAAAGCCTTATGAGTGTGAGAAATGTAGGAAATCCTTTACTTCTAAGAGGAATTTAATTGGCCACCAGAGAATCCACACAGGGGAGAAACCCTATGGGTGTAATGATTGTAGTAAAGTTTTTAGGCAAAGAAAAAACCTTACTGTACATCAGAAAGTTCATACAGATGGAAAACACTGTGAATGTGTGGAGTCTGAAAAAGAATTCTCACAAACTTTAAAACTGCATCTACAACAAAAAAATCATACTGTAGAAGAATTATCTTGGCTACAAAATACCAACGAGCCTGACAAAGAGATTCAGAAAAATCTAAGTTAGGGCTGGAGGTGTGGCTTAGTATAACAGTGTTTATCACCATGCACAAGACCCTGGGTTTGTGCCCCAGAACAATAAAAAAGGAAAATTTAGTCATATGTCAGATGAATATCATTCTACTGAAATAACTTTTGGAGGATGATACATAGTTCCTAATGGAAAAAAAGAAAATCTTGATCACTTCTATAGACAAGTGGAAAAGGCTTGATCTAGATTTCCAAGTCAAAACAATCTTTATTCTAACTAAAAGATATTCTGTTCTAGACCATTTACTATGATCCTGGAAAGAGGCCTTGGAGCATTTTAAGACTCTGAAGAAACTGAATTTATGTCGTATAAAATGTAATGGTGAACTTATAAATGATAGAAAAAAATCTTTTAGGAACTGGGCATTTCTGAAAATATGTATGTTGTACTTTTTTTTTTTTTTTTTTTTTTTTTTTTTTTTTTTTTGGTCTTTTTGAGACAGGGTCTCCCTGTAGCCCCAGCTGTCCTGGAATTCACTATGTAGACCAGGCTGGCCTTGAACTCACAGAGATCTACCTGCCTCTGCCTCCCGAGTGCTGGGATTAAAGGTGTGCGTCACCACGCCCAGCATGTTGTACATTTTTAAAGACAGATTCCATGCTACTGAAAGTCTATATTAACACTATTCAGACTTTTGAGATGTTGAGGCAGGTGGTGAGTCAGAGTCTGGTGCCTGAGAACAGTCTAGAAAGAGTACTGGATTTAGAATCTGAAGATGTGGATTTGGGTTCTGGTTCTTTCCGATACTATTTGAAGTTATTACATCATGAGCTTCTGAGCTCAACTTTCCTCATAATGCCTGTCCAAGGTGTTGTGAAGGGAAAATTAAAGGATCTTCATCAGAACACTTTGTGAAATAATACATTTGTCAATAAAGTTGGATAAAAGAGTCAAAGTACATGGTCAAAGTACATGGCATGATGTAGATTTGTCTTTAAGTCAATATTATAATTACTGAAAAGATACTCATTTGTGTAAGAGAAAGTACAATGGATAGATACCTTCGGAATTTAGAACTCTAAGAATAGACTCTGAAAATAAAGCTTTAAAGCATCTAACATAGTAAATGTTTTATGGGTAAAATATAACCAACCATTAGAATTGTTGCCAAGGAAACCTATCTTTTTATATCCTTGATTTTTAAAATATTTTAAATTTATATTTATTTTATATGTATATGTGTACACATGTCACAGCTCAGAAGTGGAGGTCAGAGGACAACTTGAAAAAGTCAGTTCTCTCTTAACTACCATGTGAGTTCTGAGGCTCAAACTCAGGTCAGGTCACTTGATGGCAAGTGATTTTACCCAATGAGCCATCTCACCAGTCTGCTTTATTCTTAATAATGAAAACCTTCAGGCAATTCAAGAATTCTTCAGCTGGTAGTTAAAAATAATCTAGCATATCTGTACTATGGAATACTTAACTGTGCAAGAATTTGGAGTGCTTGTTGATTGCCACATTTATAATGGATCTTTAGAATTTATTATTATTGGTCGTTCTAGTACATCTAGATTGCAGTCATGCTTACACAAGATACACATGGTAAAATGACATGTAATATAATTGTGTACATACATTGGAGCAATGTCTAATTTTTTTTTATGTTCTTACTGTAGTACAGGCTGGTCCTGAACTTTCTATGTATTTCAGGCTAGCCTTGAACTTGTGGTGATCCTGCAGCCTTAGCTTCTGGGATTACAGGCTTGAACCACTAATTCTGGGCCTGATTTTGATACTGTGGTTTGTTTGTTTATTTATTTATTTATTTATACATACATACATTGTGGGTAAATGGGTGAAGGATACTGTTTTGGCTTATTTCAAAATACACACAAAACTAAAGAGCCGTAACTATAGTGTTGTGATGCTGATGGGGGGGAGAGTTGAATACAAGTAGATATTAGATGTAATTTTTCTTACTTGCAATGATGGTGTTATTTGGAGAATAATTTTTTAATATATTTTATCCATTTTTATTTTATGTGTATGAGTGTATTGCCTGCAAGTATGTAAATGCACTGGTGTCATTCAGTGTCCATAGGAAGACAGAAGAGGGTGTCGGACCCCCTGGACTGGAGTTAGGGACAGTTGTTAGCTGTCATGTAGTTGCTGGGATTCAGTCTTAAAGAACTACCAGTGTTCTTAACTGCTGAGCCATCTCTCCAATCCTTTGGAGAATTTTTTTTTAATTAAAAAAAATTTTTTTTATGTGTATGAGTGTATTGCCTGCATGTATGTGAGTGCACCCGTGCCTAGCAATGCTGCGGAGGTCAGAAGAGGGCTTTGGATTCCCCTGGAACTGGAGTTAAGGACGGTTTCCTAGCCTCCGTGTGGGTGCTGGGAATCGAACCTAGGTCCTCTGCCAGAGCAGTCAGTGCTCTTAACCGCTGAGCCATCTCTCCAGCCCCGGAGAATATTCTTATGGGATTATGTTGAGTAGTTGGAATGAAGTGTTTTGATATTTATCATTTCCCAGAGCAAAGACCTTAAGTAAGGCAAAAAGCAAAATATCAGTTCAGGTGGAATGTACAGTATTCACTATCATTACTTCAACTTCTCTGTACCGTTTGATATTTTAAAAATAATGTTTGTGGGGAGACTATCAGATGACAGTTTGGCAGTTCCAGCAGGTGAAGTCCCAGCTCCTCAGGCTAATAATGTCAGGCTCCCAGCAAGCTTAGGGTATCTTTGGAAATCCATAGAGAAAGGAGGACCTCCCAGATTCCTAGATAGGTCGGCCTGCTGACTGACGAACCGGAAGCCCCTCCGGAGGCACTTCCCGTCCGGTCATTGTTCTCACGTCTTGAGGAGCGGAGAGGCTGAGAAGCTCTACCGCGTCCCAGTGTCCCCGGAGCCGGTGAGCGGGAGCGGCGGGTGGCGCCTGCGGGAGTGGGGCGGGGAGGACCGTCCTCCGCCGCTCCTTCGTCCGGGAAGAAGCTCCACGCTGTCCGGCCGGCCCTTACGGGGCCCTGGCCCAGGAGGTCCTGGCGGGACGCGCCGGCCCGAGGGCTTGCGCGCGGCGTGAATGGCACACTCCTGGGAGTATGGAGGCCTGAGGCAGACCACCCGGCCTACAGCCACCTGTTAACTGGAGGCGCCCTGCGGTCTAATGACTACTCAAAGTAGACAACCTCCGGTGTGCTCAAGGTGGAATGAATCTTAAAAGGCCTTTCTGCCAGAGTGCATTATAGTCATGGGGATAGTAACCCTCCAGAGTTAAGATTTGTTCCAGGGATGAGAAGCTTTGCATTACTTTAGAACCTCAGTATGTACAGTAAGTTATCAGCAAGTTAACAAAGGGAATAATAATATGATGATATTTTCACTACTTGCAAAAGAGGATTTAAGAAGGTTTATCACTGTTTTCTAGTAAAACACCCAAGGAGGAATAGAACAAAGTTTAGTCTCTTTATGCCCTGCTAAAATAGTAGTTACTGACCTACTCAAAACCAAACACTGCTTAACAAAGATACTTGTTAATTAGTAGTTGTGTGCTTCACTTAATGTGATTTAGGAAACAGTTTGACAAAATGTACCAAGCATAAAATCCTTAAAGCAGTAATCCCTCAGTTTATTCTAAAGGAATAATGCAACAGCAGAAAAACAATGCTTTGCACAGAAAACAAGTATTTAAATAAACTGGAAATAGTCAAGGCCCCATTTATTAAAGGGATGGTTTGTAAATGGTATGATTAAATAGATTTAGAATACTATGCCAGAATGAGGTATATTTGTACTATGCGTTGAAAAACCATTAAGACTTGTGAAACATAATTGAGTCAACAAATGGTTGTGGCTGAGGGTGTAGCTCAGTTGTCAAGCATTTACCTAGCATGCATGATACCCTGAACTACAGAATGAACAAAAACAAGAAAACAGAAGACCACTAGTGCAGCTTGCTGAACAGTGAGCTGGTAGTGTGATCTATAGTATAGTATAGTTTTGAGTGGAAAAAAAGAAGCTGTATATCTGCAGGTGCTCACAGAAAATGGGAGTAGGTTGTCCTCCTAGACTAATAATTAGTTACTCTTTATGTATTTATGCAAATATGAGAGCTCTGCACTTAATTTTATGTATTTCTGAATTGAACCTCTTCATTGAGAATGGAAATTTACCAATACTATAAGTTATTGTGTAGCAACTAAAAATGAGGATAAATAGTGGCAATACTAAATTTTTTTGTTGTTTTAAGGTCAATACTTGGTGGTAAAAATATTTGGAAAATGTGGAAGGTAGAAAAATCAGACAGGCCAGGAATGGTGTACACTTTTCAGGCCAGCACTTGGAAGGCAGAGACAGAAGGCAGAGTTTCAGGCCAGCCAGGACTACTCGGTGAGACCCTGTCTCAAAACAAGCCAGAGAAAAAGAACCTCAGAAATACTTGTAACTAAACCCTCTGGAGAAAATCACTCATCCTAACATGCTGATGTGTAGATTTCCAGCTTTTTTTTCCTATGAATCTTTAAGCTTTTTTTTTCCCCATAGCAATAAACCTTTGTAATACCGTTTAAAAAAAAATCATTTCGACAATAATTAGAAAATATATCCCCATAGTAAAAAATAAATGATAAGTAAAATAATACTTGTTAGTAAGGTTGTAGGTTTTCTCTTAATAGTTTTCTATATTTTCAAGTTTTTATAATTAAACCATTAACCTTTCTTTCTTGAGACAACTTACTATGCAACCCTATCTGGGCTGAACCACAGAGATCCACCTGCTTCTGCTGGGATTAAAGGCATGCACCCTGACACCAACTTTTAATCAGAAAAAGGTTATATACATCTACTTTGTAATTACATATTTACAGTCAACCCTTTTTTTATTTGAATTTTTGTTTATTTCATACAAAACATCTTAACCATCTTTATCCTCCCTTCCCCATTGACCTCCCCCCCATAGCCCCTGCAGTGGAATTCATACAGTCTGTCATTGTGTTAAGGCTTTTCATGTCAAGTTAGTGTCCCCAGTTTTCCCTCAGTGCAAGTTCATTCACTGGGGTCTTGTCAGTGAATCTAGAGTCCCTCCCTTTAAGAAAATCAGCTCTTCATCATCCAGCAGTAATCAGCTGCCAATAATGATTTGACTAAGATTGGGGCCTGCTGTCCATTTCCATAGTTCTGTGCTGGGTTTTGTCTGCTTGAGTTTGCGTGGGTCTTGTGCATACTTGACACCATTGCTGTAGGTTCATATGAGAAGAGTCCCAGGAGCCTATAGGACTCTATTTCCATATGTCAACCTTTTCAGTTTGAGGGACAAACTGAACTGGAACTGGTAAAATCAGCCAGTGGGCCTAGTAGCCCCCACAAATCTATATTTGATGTTAACTATGTTTTCTGATTTGTTGTAGACAATACTCATTGTGGCCCTGGGAAGAAACTCAAAAAGCTTTTGGAACTTCAAGATTAGATGGGGCTTGAGCACTGCTGGGCAACCCTCAGCTATCAGAATTCCCCCCTTGAGCAGAGAAGATGACTACAGAATTGAGAGAGGCTGTGGCCCTGGCCCCCTGGGACCCAGTGAAGGTGAAAAAGGAAGAGGAAGAGGACGAAAGTCTTTTAGGTCAAGCATCCAGCCATCAGGTGTATTCTGAAAACTGCAAAGTCTGGGCCCCAGGGCAGAGTCCTCATTCAGGTGTTGATATATCCCAAGAGGAGGAAAAGGTAAATGATGGCCTGAGGAAAAAAGAGAGAACTACAGACCTCACGTAGTTTCAAGGGGGACTCTGCTTTCAAACCCAGACTCTTCCTGACAAGGGCTCAGACTTTTGACCCTTGGAAATATAATAAGCTGTCCCCTTCTGATTGGTGTGTCACTACTTTTCTGTAAACCAATGATTCTTTTTTTTTTTTTTTAATGTGTATGTCTGTATAGCCTGCATGTAGGTAAGTGCACCCATGTCGTGCAATACCCACGGAGGTCAGAAGTGGCTGTTGGCTCCCCTGGGACTGGAGTTACAGACAGTTGTTAGCTGCCATGTGGGCGCTGGGATTCGAACCTGGGTCTTCTGCAAGAACAACCAGTGTTCTTAACCGCTGAGCCATCTTTCTAGCCCCTAAGCCAATGATTCTTACACATTGCTACATAGATCCTGGGGAGCTTTTATAACATCTTGATGTGCACACTATATTCTTTTCTCATTAAATCACATTCTTGGGAATAAGACCAGGGCTTCTCTGGTTTTAAAAACTCTTTATGTGACTCTAGCCAGGTGTGGTGGTGCACGCTTTTAATACCAGCACTTGGGAAGCAAAGGCAGGTGGATCTCTGAGTTCGAGGCCAGCCTGATCCACATATTGAGTTCCAGGCTAGCTGGGGCTACAGGGAGAGACTGTCTCAAAAAGACCAAAAAAAAAAAAAAAAAAAAAAAAAAAAAGAAATAAAACAAACTCTTTAAGTGACTCTTAGGTTTAACATTTCTTGTCATTGCCTCTCCATCTTTAATTTGCACTACCTAGGGTCTGTTAAAGTGCAGGTTTTGGTTTAGGAGGTCTGGAATGTGCCTAGGACTCTGCATTTCTCCAGGTTTCAGGAGATGTAAATACTGATGATCTGTATACCAAATAGCTCGGGCTGGAAATAAAACAAACTCTTTAAGTGACTCTTAGGTTTAACATTTCTTGTCATTGCCTCTCCATCTTTAATTTGCACTACCTAGGGTCTGTTAAAGTGCAGGTTTTGGTTTAGGAGGTCTGGAATGTGCCTAGGACTCTGCATTTCTCCAGGTTTCAGGAGATGTAAATACTGATGATCTGTATACCAAATAGCTCGGGCTGGCTATAAGCTGATCCTTGTGCCTCCACCTCCCAAGTGCTGGGATTACTGGCATGCACCACCACATCCAGTTTACGTGGTGCTGAGGATTAAATGCAGAGCATCATGCATGCTAGGCAAGAACTGTATCAACTAAGGTACTTCCAAAGTCCATGTTCTCCACTGAGTCTAAGCTAGGACTCACTTGCAGGTTAGGGTATATGCCAGAGAGATCAGTGAGTTAAAAAATTAAAGTGGCTTCTCTACCCAGTTCACCTAGAGAGTTAGTGGTAACTGCCCCTCCCCCTCAATGTTTTGTGGCCTCCAGGAATGGACCACTTTGTTCTCACTCAAAGCTTTAATCATACCATTCTCACCATCCAAACCCTCATAAATAACTGGTGTCCACTTGTTTCTAGAGTCAGAAAATGTTCTGGGACATGGCAGTGGTGCTGAAAGCTAGACAGGAGGCCTCTGCTGCTGAACCCTGTGGGAGTTGCTCATTAACAGGGATTCTGACCAAGAGTGAAATCCTGGAGCCTCATGGGAACCCGACCAGTCTAGGTAAGGTTCACCTCCCTGATCTCAGTCATGTTACAACATGTAGGTGGGTGTCTGGTTTTCCTACATAATCCACACAGTACAGAAATGTTGAAAGAACAAGGAGAACTGGATAGAGGACCTCAGCTCCCCATGAGGTTGTCACAGTGAGCGGTTCATTGAGTACAGTCTCAACACTAAACAGGTAAATTCCAGATTCACCTTTTAATCATGCTCATTGCCTTTCATATCTAAGCATATGTCTTCATATGTTTTGTGATTATCATAGATTGAAGGAGAAGATGCCTGAAGAAGAAACAATGAGCTTTTGTGATGATTTTGAGGAAATACTAGGATGTTTCATTTCATAGATCTTTGCGCAAATTCTGGAGGGTTTGAAGCAACTGTATCAACCATATTAATGATCAAAACTGGGACTTCGACCAGGGAACTATAGGCTTAACGGCAAAGGATAATATGCTCTGTACTGTTTTGTTTTGAATGCCTCATATACCTAGCCTGGCCTCCAACTCACTATATTGTCAAGGTTGACATTGATCTTTGAACTTCTGATCTTCCTATATCCATCTCCCAAGTGCTGGGATTGTAAGTATGTACTGCCAAGCTAGATTTATATGGTGCTGGGACTCAAATCCAGAACTTTGTACATGCTAGGCAAATACTCTGCTACTATGAGTTAAACCCCCAACCCTCAGTGTCTTTTTTTCTTAACATGATTTTAATCCTACCACTCAAGAGACAGAAGCAGGTGGATTTCTGTGAGTGTGAAGCCAGCCTGCTCTACATCATGAGGTCCAGGCCAGTCAGGGCTACAGAGTGAGACCCTAAAAAAAATAAATAAATAAAGTTCAGGACTGATGATGAGATGGTTCAGTGAGTAAATGCAGAGTTTTATCCCTAGAATCCACATAGTGGAAGGAGAGAACTGATCCCTGTAAATTACTGTCTGATGTCTTCTTGCACACCATGGCACATACACACCTGCACACACAAAGTAAAGGTAAAAGAGTAGTTAATTTAGCCGGTAGTGGTAAATACCGGTAGGATGTGCTGAAAAGAGTAATTAATTCATATGGATAGTGTATTAGTTGCTGTGATAAAATAACATGGCCAAGGCAACATATAAAAGGAAGAGTTTTATTTGGCTTACAATTCGAGAGATATAAAAGTCCATCATGGTGGGAGGCATGGTGGGAGAGGTGGCAGAGGCAACTGAACCAGGAAATGGCACTCACATGTTCAATTATTTATGCCTGGCTAAGGAGTAAGTTGTTTTTTGCTTTTTTTGTGTGTGTCTTTTTGAGACAGCATCTCCCTGTAGCCCCAACTGTCCTGCAACTCACTATGTAGATCATGCTGGCCTCAAACTCACAAAGATCCACCTGCCTCTGCCTCCCAAGTGCTGGGATTACAGACATGCACCACCATGCCCGGCATGGAATAAGTCTTGATTGACTGGTAAAAGTTGGCTTGTGGAGGAATGGCCTGTAAATGTGACTCAAGAATACTGTGGATGAACTGGCTAGATGGCTCAGTGGGTAAAGGTGGTTGCTGCCAAGCCGAGGACCTGAATTCAATATCCACAACCCACGTGGTAGGAGAGAACAAACTCCTACAAAATGTCTTCTAGCCTTCACATGTATACCTTAAATCTGACACACACACTCATACTCACTTTGTAGCCTTATAAAGCAAAGTCTATAAAACAAGGTCTAGGTCTACTAGGGATACATAGCAAGAGCCTGTCTGAAAAAGTCAAAAACAGAAATAAAGTTAACTTCATATGTATATTATTTTTTCCTTAGATTAAGCACAATTTCAAATTTAACATATCTAAGTCTTTTTAAATATTTTGACTATTCAACTAGGTCAACTTAGGAATCTTGTAAACAAAATTTTGATGAACACATAGCTTTCACAAAACTAATGAGTTAGACCTCAGTAAACTCAGTTATGCTTCATATCTCAGAGTACAGTAATCAGCTAAGATGGCACCTGATGTAGATTTCTAATCTCTTTTGTTGTTCCTTTGTTTTGATTTTGTTTTTTTAAGCTTTGGTCTCATGCATTCCAGGCTGGCCTTGAACTTCTGAACCTTCTGCCTCCACCTCCCAAATGTTGGGATCACAGGTATGTGCTACCGTGCCCAGCTGAGATTTTTTTCTTTTATTTAGTTAATATTTTTGTGTGTATGTGTGCCATAGCATAGTGCACATAGAGGTCAGAGAACAATTTGGAAACTGTCTTCACTTTTATGTGAGTTGTACACATCAAACTCTGGTCACCAGGTTTGGGCAGCAAGCACTTTTACTGGCCTACCTTTTTTTGCCAACCCTAGATCTTTTTTTTAAAAAAAATGCAAAAGGGCCTACGTCTGTAGCTCGAACATAGAGCATATATTTAATACACGCAAAGCTTGCCATTCAATTCCCTGCCCCAAGGAAAGGAAGAAGGATACTGATATAAAAACTTAGCCGGGCATGGTGGTGCACACCTTTAATAAACCCAGTGAGTTCGAGGCCAGCCTGGTCTACATAGTGAGTTCCAGGACAACTGGGGCTATAAGGAGAGCCTGTCTCAAAAAGACAAAAAAACAAAAAAAATGTATTGGGAGTCTGGTATGTAATGGCACATGCCTGTATCCCAGCACTTAAAGGCAAAAGCCAGTAGATCTCTGTGAGTTTAAAGCCAACCTGGTCTATGTAGCAAGTTCCAGGACAGTCAGGACTACATAGTGAAACCCTGTATGTCATCCCCCCTCCTCCCCCCAAAAGCCAACTTATTAGGGTGGGATTGTAGCTTGGAGGTAGAGGGCTTGCTTTGTATATGTAAGACTGGATTCTATTCCTAGCATTGTGATAAGAAAAGACAAAAGAACAACTTAACTTAGTGCTGTGCTGTATTCAAGTTCAACTCAAAGCAGTTTCTACTTCATTTCATTTTTTTCTGCACTTATTTACTCTTCTAAAATTAGAATAATCCTGGGTGATACAGAGAAAGGAAAAATACCATTTCAAATAAGACAAGGTTATGTAGGTCCCAAATTGTTGGCTTTGCACCATTCTGACCCCTGGCCCATCCACTTATGTCATTGGTTAGAGAATTGCCTGGCCTTGCCATAAAGATATCTTGTCTCTAGTGGTTGCTGGACACACCTCATCCATTATTTCTAAGTTGAAGTATGTCCTTGCTGTACTGGCTTGTCTCCATCATTTCATTTGTCTTATATCAGTTTTTCAGGGCTTAGTTTAATTCACAGACATTTAAGGGTTCACTCTGCCAACATGGGGCTTTGTAAGTGGGGTGGGGTGGAGGGGAGACAGACAAAAATCTATGGTATTGCTATGTGTGGTAGTGCATGCCTATAAATCCCAACCCTTGGTAGGTGAAGGTTGTGAGCATCAGGAGTTCAAGGCCACAGAAGATGCTCTCTCAAAAAACAAATAGCAGTAGCATCACTTTTCTAGGCCATTAGGATGTTGAAGCAGTGCTGAACAACCAGAAACTAATCAGCTTTAAAATTTAAGGCTGTGCTGTCAAGATAGTTTATGGCATTGTGGAGCATACTATACTATAGTTGGATAGACAGTTTTCCTTGCCAATGTTAAGCTCTTCCCTTGATATAAGGATAAGAGTTTACTTCGCTGAATTTCTTTCCTAATATTTCCTTGTATAGCTATCCGCATAACAACCCTCCATTTCCAAAGGCATATTCTGGCATACCATCAGTCAAGCCAAAAGTCACTGCTGACGCCAGAGTGCTTACTGTGTTCATGTACCCTTCTTAGCAGTTGTCGAAATAACTCCATCAATTCATGCATAGCCTTATGAGATAGAACCTATTATTATCGTTAATTAGGACATTAAGGCACAAAGAAATAAAGTAAATAGCCCAGAGGCATATAGCCCACTAGTGGTAGAGCAGGGATTTGAAACATTCTGGACCCAAAATCCATGTTTTTTGTTTTTTGTTTTTTGTTTTTAAATTTTATGTGTATGAGTGCTTTGCTTGCATTTAAGTGCACTGTGTTCATGTAATGCCCAATGAGGTCAGAAGAAGGCCTAGGATCCTCTTGAACTGGACTTACAGACAGCTGTTAGCTGCTATGTGGATGCTGGGGACTTAAACTGAATTCTTTAACTGTTGAGCCATCTCTCAGCACCTAGAATTCATGTTCTTAACTTCTGTGATACATAGCTTGTCAATATTTTTTTGGTGCTGTTGGCTGCTGTGTTCATCTTGCCATCTAAGTGACCCCTTTTGTTCATATTTAACTTGAATGAATGGATGGATGATTTTTCTGGTTGGTTGGCTGGTTGGTTGACTGACTTGGTTTTGGTGTTTTAAGACAGCAGTGCCAGGCAGCTGGAACTTAAGGCTTTCCTAGAACTTGATACCTAGACCAAGCTGGCCTCAAACTCAAAAGTATCCTCCTGCTTCTGCCTTTCAAGTTCTGGGGTTACAGGTGTGTGCCATCATATGAACCTAGCTATTATCCTTCCTTTGATATCTAGCATTCACACACAAAAAGCCTAAATTGGAAGGTCTTTTGTTCATAAGTTAGGATTTTCCCTAAATCCTTAGCTGGCCAGTTCTGTGCTAATCCACATTAGCATTTCAGGCGAAAAGGCAAGCGGATGGAGAGGCTAGTATCCTTCATAGTTGGTCATAGTTGTGAGATCTGTCTTTAGGTGACCAGAAGGAATGTGGTCTGTAGATTGGGCATGTTGATGTGGGATAAGTGTTTGTGTTAGACTTTCTTGTCAATGACAGAAATACCTTATAGGTAAAAGGATTTCTTTTAGCTCATGGTTTCAGTTCAGAGTGACTTGGGCAGAACAGGATGGCAGGATTATATGGAGGAGGAGGTTATTTACCTCATGATCAGGAAACAGAGGAAAGGACCAGGAACCCAGTTTCCAGAACTTCCTGGTAAAAAGTACCACCAGCTGGGAACCAAGCATTCAATGACCTTCTGCAGAACTCTCCCTATACAAACCATAATAGAGTCTGATGAAGGCAAATAGAACTGCTAGAAAGACCAGGAGTCAGTGCTTTCCATACCAGGGATGTGGCAAGGCACAGACTCAACAGAAGAACCTATAAAGAAGGTAGTGTGTGGGAACGCCTTCCTTTGATGAAGTCAGTTTGCATGAGTGAAGTGTATTTTCCTGACCTTGATGATCCTCTTTTTCTAGCCCAGAGAAAGCTAACATTTGTATTTTCTGTTTCTTGGTACAGGTAATGAAACCAAGAACCTACAATTATTGGTTCCTAAAACAGAGACATGTGATGAAACTGAAAAGCCTCCCATGATATCAGGAAGAATCCAGAAAGGTGATCATCCAGGATCAGAGTTAGGAGAATCTTATGAAAAAGGAAATGTGCTAAAGAGGCAGAGAATAAAGCAGGAAAAAAGAGATTTCAGAAAAGTGACAGACAAAGACACTCCATTATCTGAAAGCTTCAAAGAGGAAGACCAGAAATATAAGAAGTCTGGAGGAAAATATAGCCTTAGTTCTGGCTCTGTGAAAAATCAGAAAGTGCAGCCTGGGCAAAAGCCTTTTACATGTAGCGAGTGTGGAAAAGGCTTTAGTCAGAGTGCAAACCTTGTTGTGCATCAGCGAATCCACACTGGAGAGAAACCTTTTGAGTGTCATGAGTGTGGGAAGGCCTTCATTCAGAGTGCAAACCTTGTTGTGCATCAGAGAATCCACACTGGACAGAAACCTTATGTTTGTGCTAAATGTGGGAAAGCTTTCACTCAGAGTTCAAATCTGACTGTACATCAAAAAATCCACTCCTTAGAAAAAACCTTTAAGTGTGGTGAATGTGAGAAAGCCTTCAGTTACAGCTCACAACTTGCTCGGCACCAGAAAGTTCATATAACTGAAAAATGCTATGAATGCAATGAATGTGGGAAAACATTTACTCGGAGCTCGAACCTCATTGTTCACCAGAGGATCCATACTGGAGAGAAGCCCTTTGCCTGTAACGACTGTGGCAAAGCCTTTACCCAAAGTGCAAATCTTATTGTACATCAGCGAAGCCATACTGGTGAGAAGCCATATGAGTGTAAAGAGTGTGGGAAAGCCTTTAGTTGTTTTTCACACCTTATTGTGCACCAGAGAATTCACACTGCAGAGAAACCTTATGATTGCAGTGAATGTGGAAAAGCCTTCAGTCAGCTCTCTTGCCTTATTGTCCACCAGAGAATTCACAGTGGAGATCTCCCTTATGTGTGTAATGAGTGTGGAAAGGCCTTCACTTGTAGCTCATACCTACTCATTCATCAGAGAATTCATAATGGGGAAAAACCTTATACCTGTAATGAGTGTGGCAAGTCCTTTAGACAGAGATCAAGCCTTACTGTGCACCAGCGAACCCACACTGGGGAGAAGCCCTACGAATGTGCAAAGTGTGGTGCAGCTTTCATTTCTAACTCACACCTCATGCGACACCACAGAACCCATCTTGTTGAATAGCAGGGGAGAAGATGATCTCCAGCTGTTGGTCATAACCTACTGTCCCCTCATAATAAACACCTCTGTTCTATTTTATTCCTCCTTTGTTACAATAAGGCCTATGCCCTTTAGAGTTAGTTTTCTGGAAGGCACTGTAAACATAAGCATTTCAGAGGCTAATTTAAAGAAAATAAACCTAACAACTTAAAAACAAGAGCATTGTTAAGCTCTTTTTTTTTTTTTTTTTTTGAGACAGGGACTCCCTGTAGTCCCAGCTGACCTGGAACCTGGAACTCACTATGTAGACCAGTCTGGCCTTGAACTCAGAGATCCCCCTGCCTTGAGTGCTGGGATTAAAGGCTTGAGCCACTATGACCTTACTTAGTTTCTGAGATCAGAGGAAATCAGTATGGCTGTAGATGGAATATGGCTTTTTAAGGGCCTGTTTGAGGAAAGATTGTCTTTCCTCAGTTTTGATTAAGTTTATAATTTATTGAATAGCAGGCAGGTTGTCTGGTCAACTCTTTGTTGTTTGTTTTTGAGATAGGGTCTCTCTGTAGCCCCAGCTGTCCTGGAACTCACTATGTAGACCAGGCTGGCCTTGCACTCACAGAGATCTGCCTGCCTCTGCCTCCAGAGTGCTGGGATTAAAGGGG